GGTTCACTAAAACATCTAGCTCCCATACAGCTAATTGATCAGAGACGTTCGTTCTTTTGGGTTATAGCTCTTCCAATTAAGCAAGGAAAAATTTAGTACAGGTTCACTTTAACATATAGCACGCATACAATTTATTATTCAGATATGAAGTTAGAGTTATAGCGCAAAACCACATATCTGAGTAATCAGTTGTATTGGAGCTATATGTTAATGTAAACCTATTTCGATAATTTTAAGGAATAATTAAGGTAATACTAAAAAACTATTATGTGCAAAATTTTAGTAAAATAACTTCAAAACTGAGGGAGTTATTTATAAAATAGCTAAAATTTAATCAAATTTTCAAGTACCGCTATCTCGAAAACCGCAGCCAATCTGGTAAAACGGGGCATGCCATTGAATTCAGAATGTCCCAATTAAGTAAGTTCAACTTTCAAAATCTTTACTCAAAGTTTACAACTTGAACAGCGTAATTTGCACCCAGCTTATTCTTTTGTTTTCTATTTCATGTTTATTCCTCGTCTAACTTTTGAAGCACTTGATGAAAATGAATTACACTTATATGTATTAATCGATTTATTAAGAGATTACGAATAAAATGATATATAAAACATAGGTGTGCTCACAAATTTAAAAATTAATTTTTTTTTTAAAGTGTACCTATTTTTTATATTTGCCCATATACATACATATAAGGAAAATTATCAACCTGTAATACAAGTTTGAAACTTACTAAATAAATTAGAAGACATTTAAGCTAACCACGCATTAAGAATTAAGGTACCCACACACCTATGCGATTCTGTCGGTGCGAATCTGTTCCGACAAAATTTACAACAATGCCAACCATAGTTTTAAATGAGGAACCACACACTTATGCGATTTTGCTGCAGCGATTTATTCGAACATTCACAGTTCTTCTTTTGGTCGTGCCGAAATCGCAGAACGAAAAAGGTCAATAGGAGGATTTTACAACACTAAAACAAAATTGAACGTAAGAAAACAAAACATATTTGATGTAGAAAAGTTAAGAATTTAATTTTTTGTTTGAAAAATATTTTTTGTTTGTCTATAAATTGACAGTTTTTACTGCGATGAAATCGCACAGATGTGTGCGTACTTGCGTTTTCGAAGCAGTAACGTCTGTAGCATCAAGTAGGTGTACTGCTACTTGAAAGTATACAATAAACTTCAAACTAAAAAATTTATATTTTTTCGCGCCACAATAAGCCACGTTTGGCAGCGATTATTTTTGTTGTTGTTGTTTTTTCTTTTGAATTTATTAGATTGAGTTATTCGCTGTATATTTGTCAGCCAGAATACCAAAAATCATGGTCATCTGAATTCATTTAATTTTGGACTTTTGGCATGCTATAATTGAAAAGGGGCAGTGTGCAGCGTCGCGGGGGAAATTTGCGACTGGGCAGCACAGCAGGGGCCCAGTTGTTCAATCACGCGAGTTGCGGAGTCCGGAACATGCCCTAAAGTGGCACCAGCCAAGACAGGAGTTGCACTTCACTGATGTCTCGTTACGGTATATTGGACTGACAAACCGATCAGATTGTCGGAGGGACTTAGACTATTGACTATTGACTATTGTTGTGTCGTGATGGGATGTGGGTGTTTTAGAGTTGTGCTGCTCGGGCGAGTGGCGGTTTGCCCAGCATGTGGCCACGTACGACGTGTCCAAGGTCGGTGCGTACGTAAGCCCGAGCAGGTAAACGGGGTTAGATCGCCGAAACAACAGTCCTTGGTCGGGTAAAATCCGAGTCATTCCGATACGTAGCACCGGCTGTCGTGGGAATGTTCAACCGATTGTTCATGTGGTTCAGTTCTAGCTCTACATTTTGTTTTGTTTTGCATTGAAAGCAACAACAATTGGTGACCAATCCATCCAATGACCGTCTGCTTAAATGTATGTATATCAGGGTGGTTACTCTGTAAACAGGGCTGCCAACTTGGCTCAAACCGTACCATTTTTGGAACTATTTTACATCAAATGGCACTTAATTATTCAATTTGGCACAAAGTGCCAAAATGGCACTTTTGAAAAATAGTAATATTTCAATGTATTCTTGTGAAATCTTTTTCTTGTACCTCTTTTTCTCAACTAAAATTTTCTAATTTCAATAGTGTATACAACTGGTTTATTTTATTTTGGCATTGGGCTTTTGTTTTAGCAATGTGTTTCTAATTTTAATGCTAAATGGGATGAATTAGAAAAAATTGCACCTTTTTGGCACTTTTATTTTTCTATTTAGCACGTTTTGGCACTTTTTGATCCTCAATATGGCACTTCATGGCTATGGATAGTTGGCAGCCCTGTCTGTAATGCGATGCGATAGCAAATTGTGAAAATTCGGAATATTGGCACCTACAATGCGACAAGCGCATTGAAAATTGCCCTTTTCGCATTCATTTTTTACCCTTTCACATTTTAGGCGCTCTGTAATGCGTAAACGAAAGCAAAACTGCTTCTTCTATCGCAATTTGCGTTCGATAGCTGTACAGCTAGCGCAATCTACAAACTACCTGTAATAAAGAAAGATTTCTAAAATCTTTTGAACCAATATGATATAATATTTTATTTTGTAGGCAGCGATTGCAAAACTAAATGATTTTCGTTATTTATTTCACGAATATACATACATACATAAATACATACATAATTAAGATTCAATATTAAAATTTTTACACATGTATTTTTATAAAAATTTCAATTTATGCAATAACTTATATTAAGTATACCACACTCGAATAATTACTATATGTACTTTTAATAGGTACATACATACATAAAAAAGGGTGTGTTTTATTTGACCGAAATGTAAGCTATTTGTATGGAAGATTTAGCCAACATAATTATATTGGATTGTCGGCCGCTGTGGTGCAGTGGTAAGCAGTGCGCGCTTCCACTCCGCAACGCCTGGGTTCAAGCCCTGATTAAAGCAACATCGCAAAAAAAATATAGGAAAAAGGTTTTTTCTTAACAGCGGTCGTCCCTCGGCAGGCAATGGCAAACCTCCGAGTGAATTTCTGCCATGAAAATAAACAGCTTCTCATAAAAATACAATCGCCGTTCGGAGTCGGCGTAAAACTGTAGGTCCCACCGCTTTGTGTTTCAACATCAAGGCGCACGCCACAAATCGGAGGAGAAGCTCGGCCAAACACTAACATATGTGTAAGCGCCAAACTATTATCATTAATATTATTATTATTATATTGGATTATGAAAACCTATCTTGGCTTGTATATTGAACTGACTACAGGCATTGCCATTCGGTGTCAAAAAGATTTTTTCTTCAACCAATCAGAAAGGGGCAAAGGTTTCCTTTTGACACAACAACGTTAAAAAATGTATACATACTTATGTATTCACAATAATATTAGTAATTAAAAATTTTCAAGAAATATCAAAATTGTTTGCATGTCCGCTTGCCACAACAGAGGCCAATGTGACAATTAGCTACCTCCAACTAAGCATTTTTATATCTCTAAAGGCCGTGTCACACGATTGGGCGTTTGCGCAATATTTGGTGCAAATCGTATCCCAATCGTGTGAATGCACAAATATTATTCTTTATCCCAACCGCGACAAACAATTTGTACAAATTTCTCGATAGAAGTTCGCTGTATTGTACCAATCGTGTGACAACAAAAAAATTGTCGTCCCAATTTTTTCATTTTATACTAGGGCTGTGCGATTATTCGATTACTCGAGCAAGTTGGTTAATCAATTATTCGGTTAATCAATTACTCGAGTAATCAAGATTTTGATTACTCAAAACGATGATTAATCGAGTTACTTGAAATATGATTACTCAAAAATAATAATTTTGCTCGTTAAAAGAGTTTACTTTGGAAAATGCTTATTTTCTTTTTTACATTCTGTATATGAAAAAATTTTTCGTTTTAATTTTTGAAAACAGAAACGTTGTTTTCAAAGTATCAAGGAACTTTAACTACTTTATACATATGTAAAGAGTTGAAATGTTGATTACTCATTTTACTCGAAATGTTGATTAATCATAAAGCAAATTACTCAAATATTTTTGTTTTTGGTTAATCAAAAATCTTGATTACTCGAGTAACTGAACTTTTGAGTAATCATAATTTCCGATTAATCGAATAATTGAGTTATTTACTTTATGATTAATTAAAATTTTGAGTAATCAATTAATCGCACAGCCCTATTTTATACCAATAGCCCAATAAAAAAAATGTACAAATATGTATGTACAATTATACCACTCGTGTGACACGGCCTTTAGGAAATCGCATGCGTTAACAAAACGACTGAATTTGAATACATACTTTAATTTTTTTTGCAGTCAAACCACTTTCAAAATTAAGCCAACATAGGAAATAATCTAATTGCTTTTATTTGAGCAATATCTAGCTATTAGCTTGTGATGGCTAAAGGAAACACGCCTAATATGTGCTTTTTGTATGTACATACATATGTACGTACATACATATCAAAATCAAAATTTTTTATCAAGTGCATGCTGTGTATGCTAGATAACATACAACCAGGCGCAAAATTAAAAAAAAAATTGTTTGGCTTAAAGTATAGGGTCAGATAACACTTAAGGTATGCAACGAAAATCATTTACTTCCATTTACTTTTATATCAGTGGTGGTTGCAAAAAGAAAATATGATTGCGACACCACTGCGATAGGGATAGAGTACCGATACCCTTTCGGATCGCATTTGCTTTTCGTATCGGATTCCAGAGTAACCCCCCCGACCGTATAGTATTTAGTATGCACATTCGTAAAAAGGAAATAAGTATGTATGTATATGACTTGATTACGGATAACAACCAAACTTCAGTTGCGTTGAATTTACAAATTCACCATTGTAGCTGTCATAAGCATTTAGATTGAGGAAAACTAATTGTCTTTTCGACTTTTTTTAACTTGCTTACACTAAATTCTTAACTGCAAATGAGGTTGAGTTGCTACCCGTATACGACCCATTGAAAAATTTCACTTACCTCTGTTTCATCAGACTCGTTTGTTGGGTTTGACGGTTCACTGCCACGAAGAAAATTCATTGCATCAAAGTAATATAAAGTAGTTACGCCATTTGGCGATATTCGTTTACATTCTCTTAGATAGTTGCATCGAATGCCATTAATCTTTTTTTTTACGTCTTTAATTTCACCATCCGGATACCTTTCTTGGAATTTCTGAAGCAAAATTTCATATTGCTTTTTCTTTACATTCCGATCGTGATAATCTTTACATTTTACATTCCACAGTGCCGGCAGCGAGCGATACACTCCAATAAATTCAAGTGTGAAATCTCTTTCGTTTTTGCTGCTGAAATCTTGTTGCGCTCCTTTACTACTTGTTGGTATGCTGTCTTCTTCTGTGTCCATATACGTGTACTGCTCTGTTTCCTCAAATTCTGAATTATTTTCAGACTTCACAGTTTCTTCTAATTCTTCCTCTAAGGAATGCTAAAATTAGTATTTTAATTGAAAAAACGGAATATAATTAGTATCATTGCTTATTCGAATAAAATTAATAATAAATTTGGGTGACACCATGATTCATGACGCAAGTAGGAAGAGTATGAAAAGGAGTTTAGTGGTTCAAGCCAATTTAGCTAAAAATATGCTACTAATAACTTCATATCTTAGTTACAATGAAATTTAACCGTCTTAGGGCCATTTTCTCAAGTAACCTGTGTCTTTACAGTTCACTTTATATTTAAAGGTTGTATTAAAATGTATGATTGTGTTTAAAGTAAAGCATTTTATTATCGGTTTTAAATTGGTTTATAATGCTTAACTTTAGACATAGCTTTATTTTTAATCCAACCTTTAAATATAAAGTGAGCTTTAAAGTTAAAGGTTACTTCAGAAACGGTCTTAGAGATCTTAAGTAAACACACAGATAAGATAGGGAGTCACAAGATGTCGTAATCGTTGAATTGTCTTAAAGTTGTAAATTTATTTAAGGTTATTGATGGTTAAAATTCTGGTTAGGGCATTCGCAGGGCAAACTAAGAACTAAGAAATATTTATAGATTGTCTATCAGTTTAGCAGTGGGGAGCATTTTTTACATTTTCCAAACACATGTAACTGGGCTCTAAACGCTTCTTGCTGTGAAGTTTTCACACGTGGACCACATACACCCTGTGTTTAGAAATGCATCAAGCCAAAGCATCAGTCTCTTTTATTTCCATCATTGCACAGTGGACTGCCTCATACACAAATGTAAAAAATTTTGATTTTTCAAAAGCAGATTTCTGTAGTGTCTTTTTATAGCAAATAGATTGACATTTTATGGTGAATGCCCATTTAAACGCATTTGACAAATTAAACGGTACTTTCGCTCTTTCAAACATAACATATGTGAAAAAAGTTATTTGATATGAAAAGTACGTGTAAATTAAGCCAACTCGAATTTTGCGATATTTTGAGTTTAAGTGTTAAATAAATCCAAATAACAATGGAAACGCAAGAAACAGGTATGTTCTTTGATTTAGTCAAAGAAAATAGTGAGAACAATTAATTTTTAGCAAAATGCAAGGTGAGTAAATCATGTTACTTTCACGAACGAATATTCAAGAATTCTTACTTGCATTTAAACTTTTAACAAATATGTTCTGACCAGGTTTTATAAGCAGTTATTAGTACCTTCAAATGCACTCTTTAAAAGCCTGTTCATATACTTTCCCTTTATTTCCCTTTTGCTTTAAATATTATAACAAACGTAACTACACCTTTTCAACCCATTAATGAGAATACGTAAATTTATAATGAGAAAACGTAAATTGTATTGAGAATACGTAAATTAATAAGAAAAATACGTAAATTTATAATGAGAAAACGTAAACTGATAACGCGGAAACATAAATTTATAATGAGAAATCGTAAATTTATAAGGCGAAATCGTGAATTTATAATGAGATAATTTTTAGCAAAAAAAAACGACTTAAAAAAAGATATATATATATATTTCATGATCCAATGATCGGATGTAAACCAGATTAGTATGGGACCACCTCTGAGACACTAACTTTCTGATGCAAAAAGAATTATAGAAATCGGTTGACGTGGTCCAAAGTTATGCGGTAACATACATAAACAAAAAATAATAAAAAAAAATTAATAAAAAAATATTCCGACGAACTGGTAACCTCCTCCTTTTTTGGAAGTCGGTTAAAAACGGAAATTAAGCTTACTTAGTAGTTTTTTCCACTTCGCAGTTTTTTCATTGTGCCTAACAATACATAAACTAGATAAATACATATGCATGTAAAAATGCAGTGGCAATATTTGGGAAACAATTAGCTAGATATGCTAATTGTGTGCGATCCGCCTTATTTATGAGTCCTTTTTCGCCTATACGTCTAATGCGCAGTAATGAGACAAAAAGATTGTCGACGCCAAGGAAAAACAAGTAAGAGCAGCGCTGTCTTCGGCTATGCCGAAGGCTTCATACCTTTCATGAACATCTGCAAATTTTACTTTGACAGATTACTGCTTTTGAATACATCTGCATACATCGATAGAGGAGTTACATACTTATATAAAAAATCGCATCTAAACAATCAGAGGTATGGAAGATATACTTTATATGGCACCAATCTAAGTGATTTTCACTGCTATGTGATCGGTATGTAAACCGGTAACACAATTTATTGGGTTTAGTTTCCTACATAAAGGAGATATATGGCAAAAACTGGTATCTGAACAATCAGTGCTATAGGAGATAAAGCTTATACAGCATATATTTTGATGATTTTCTCAGTAGACTTTGTATTATTATTTATAAAATAGCTTACGAAATTTATCGGTTTTAGCTGTTCAAATAAAGAAGTTTTACAGTAAAATCCCATATCTGAACAATCAGATGTATGGAAGATATATGTTGTAGTCAGCCGATCCTTGTTATTTTCACTGTAAGTATTCTGTTAATGATGAGTGAAAATGGTGCGAAATTTCATGTTCCTAGCTGAATAAATGGAGGAGTTATGATAAAAGACCTCATATCTGAACAATCAGTTGTATGGGGGCTGCAGGTTATAGTGACCCGATCTTTGTTATTTTCGCTGTAAGTCTTCTGTTGATAATGAGTGAAAACAGCGCGAAATTTCATGGTCCTAGCTATATAAATGGAGGAGTTATAACGCAAAATTTTATATCTGAACAATCAGTTGTATGGGAGCTATAGGTTATAGTTACCCGATCTTTTTAATTTTCACTGTAAGTTTTCTGTTGATAATTATTGAAAACAGTGCGGAATTTCGTGTTCCTAGCGATATAAATGGAGGAGTTATAACGAAAAATTTTATATCTGAACAATCAGTTGTATGGGGGCTATAGGTTATAGTGACCCGATCTTTGTAATTTTCACTGTAAGTATTCTGCTGATAATGGGTGCAAGTACTGCAAAATTTCATGTTCGTAGCTGCATAAATGGAGAAGTTATAACGAAAAATCTCATATCTGAACAATCAGTTGTATGGGAGCTATATGTTATAGTGGTCCGATTCTTCCGGTTCCGACAAATGATTAATACATTATAAAAATACACCCACCTACCAAATTTGATACGGATATCTCGAAAACTGAGAGACTAGATTGCATACAAACAGACGGACAGACGGACAGACGGACAGACGGACATGGTTAAATCAACTCAGCTCGACGTTCTGATCATATAAGTATACATTTTAATGGGTCTATCTCTTTTTGTTCTGGTACTTACAAACATCGGACCAAAGTTATAATACCATTTCATGCTCATGAAAGGTATAATTACCCGGAGAATTTTGCGCAAGAGCAGCACACAACATTTCACGCAGATCCACTTGTGTTGCAAAACATGAGAATGGCTGAATAAAGGTAAAAGAAAAATAATTCTCATTATTTATTTACGTATTCTCATTTTAAATTTACCCTTTCTCATTATAACTTTAGTTTTTCTCATTATAATTTGGGCAATTAACTATTTCTGCATGAAAAGTCATCTGTAAAAGAAACATACTGTCTTTGCATTGCTTTAACCCAAATGCATTTTAAAGTAGTTGAAATCAAATGCAGAGTCAGACAATCGACTTGCTGCTTGCACACAATTCAAACTGAATATTTGAAAGCACATTTACATATCTGGCCGTGGCTGAGCGTGCAAATATGTTTGCTGCAATTGGTCGCGGCCAAGAATGTTCATGTTCAAATTTCATTAGGCGAAACATTTAACCTTAAATTTTTAATTTCGGTTTTTCTTAATTATGAAAAAGCATCTGTGAAGTGCAGAGCGAAAGCGTAATCAAACGACTGACTTTAAAGTTTTAAAGTAATTGAAATCAAATACAGAGTCGGATAATTGACTGATGCCCAGGACATCGCCATGATAAAGTCAACAGTTCGTTCCAAGGAAGAAAGTCAGATCTTCAACTACCTTTGGTAGGTAAAAAACTAGGTGAACATCGATACTTAAACTAGTTTCTTTCCGTAATGGATGCATACTCAAAATATTTCTAAAAAAAATTGAATTAAAAAGCAGCAGAAGTTCTTGGTAAATACGACGAATATGCTTTCCCATTGTTGAACAAACTTATTGGCATTCTGGCCACACTTCCAGCTAAAAATGCTACTTGAGAAAGAAGTTTTCCAACCCTTAGCCGGTTAAAAACATGGTTCCCTAGTACCATGAATGCAGAAAGACTGATAGGTCAAGCACTTTTACACGTACACTTAAATAGGTATTGACATTGACACTGAAAGGATAATAAAAAGATACGCAAGAGGAAAGCGCAAAATCGAGTTTGCTATTTAAGTTTTTATAATCAAAATTCTGAATAAGTTGTAAAGTTACTTAATTACATCGTTCATTTGAAAAACATTGTAAGCAAAAAATAAGTATTTACAGTGACTCAAACAAATGACCACGTCTTGATTTTCTTCAAATATTCGTAATGTTTTTCGAGCCAATTTTTTTTGTTATTTTTATATAAAAATATCGTCGAAGTTTTGAATTGTTGAATTTTCTTAAATTTTCTATAAAATTTGAAACTGTGATTTACATGGTTTTGGTTAAAGTTTAGACGATATTTTTATAGAAAAATAACTGGAAAATATTACAAATATTAAAATAAATTACGTGGTAATTTTTTTCGAGTCACTGTATATATACATGCATATATAACTTTAATAACAAAGTATAACTTTTTTTGTTGTGTTGTTTTTTTTTACACGATATATAATTGTTTTGTTACAGGGAACTCTGTAAATGGACCTTGCACAAAACACTGTACTTCGCACTTCATAAAAATTACTCGAACCTCTATTTGCATGAGGGTTCAAGCAGGTTGAATGCTTGTAGGTCACATAGCTTCGATTGGTTACTCCGCTGTGAATCAAGTTAGTAATTTAACGCTATTTGACAGGTTGAATGAACTCAATGCTCCCATCCAAATAAAATCCTGAATCCGCCAGTGCTTGA